CTTCTTAACATCTTCACCCATTTGAGGCCAAAAGTACTTAACAGCAATTTTGTGATATGTGGACATAACATTAAAATGTCTGGCTAACGGGTCTGAATGGAAACTGTACAGTATAGACTCAATTTCATCTTCCTTTAAAATTATACGAGGTCGTTGAGGATTCTTGGGGTTATTTTTATATAATAGATCATTGAGAACGAACAAATAACGAGTCTGGTGTTTAAGTTTTTTAATTTGGGCTAGGGTAAATTCTGAAGGAATTATAAAATTATAGAGGTACTCTAAAAATAGTTAGTAGGTTTCAAAGTCCATAGTTACTAACACACTGTTTATATGGCTGATGAGGCAATTAAGAGGGTTAAAGAAAAAAAGCTTTTAATTATTATGGGGGGATACTTCAAATGGGTATTTGTTATGATGCTGGGGTTTAATTCTCAATAGTTTAATGAGAACAATAGGCTAACTCTAAAAATGAAATTTTCTTTTGTTAATTTAAAATGGTCTAAGTTGGTATCTGTTATAGCAATTGGGGGCAATAATTAATTTGTTGGTGGCTGTGAGATGAGAAATGCTGACGGAATGTATAACGTCAGTTTATACTATCAATGTTAAATTCTTGACAAAACATCAACGTGAGAGTGAGATTTACCGGGACGATGCTTAATGGTGTAATCAAATTCTTGAAGAGATAAAATCCATTGAGCCAATCTATTGATAGGCCTTTTGGTTTTAAACATAGAGGTCAAAGCTGAATAGTCAGTGATAATGATGAATTTAGATCCATGTAGGTAGTGGCAAAAATGTGAAATGGCCCAGACAACAGCAAGGCACTCTTTTTCAGTAGTTAAATAATTTTTTTCAGCAGAGGCCATAGTATGGCTGGCATAGGCGATAACCCTTTCATTCTGATCTTTATCTAATTGAGATAAAATAGCTCCAAGAGTATAGCCGGAGGCATCAGTTGATAAAATGAATTCTATATCAAATCTAGAGAACACTAAAATAGGGGAAGAAGAGAGTTTATCCTTTAAAGCTTTGAAAGCACATTGTTGGGAGGGACCCCAATTATAGGTGACATCCTTTCTTAACAACTGATTTAACGAATGGGCTATCTTAGTAAAACCATTGACGAAATGATGATAGTATGATGCAAGACCTAAAAACCCATGAAGCTGTCGCAGATTTTTGGGAACAGGGAACTCACGAATGACTTTAATCTTACTAGAGTCAGTGGATATACCTCTATGCCCTATAACATATCCTAAAAACTTTAATCGCTTTTTAGCAAAAAAACACTTAGATGGTTTAAGTTTAAGGTGGGCTTGACGAAGAATATGAAAAACCTGGTGCAGATGGTTTAAGTGTTCAGGAAATGAAGTAGAAAAAACATTAATATCGTCTAAATAGACAACAATAAATTTCCCTATAACACCAAGTCTTTGAAACGTAGAGGGAGCATTCGCAAGGCTGAATGGCATAATATTAAACTCAAAAGTTCTATATTCTGTTATAAAGGCAGTCTTTTCCTTATCTGACTCCTTCATTTCTATCTGCCAATAACCAGAGGCAAGGTCCAATGAAGAATACCAGCAAGATCCACGGAGAGTATCCAATAAATCATCAACATGAGGGAGGGGATAAGTATCTTTCTGAGTTACAGAATTTAGGCGACGGTAATCTATAAAAAATCTAGTTTTGTCATGTTAATGTACCAAAACCACTGGGGAGGCCCAGGGACTACAACAAGGTCTTATTATCTTATCACGCAGCATTCGACCTATTTCATTTTTGAGATACTCTTTTTCCTTAGGGGAGCGACGATATGGTCTTTGTTTAATAGGCAACACATCACCTGTATCAATTATGTGTTTAGTCAACCCAGTCCTCCCAAGGTCATTAGAGGTCCAAGCGAAAACATTACTGTTATTACAAAGAAGGTTTTCTAATTCTATTTGATGAGGAGGATCTAAATTTTCGATATTAAAAGATTGTTCAACAGTTTCGTCATTATTATAAGAATAGAAGTCAGTAAACTCAATAAAGTCTACAGACTTAGTATCAACTAAGGTTAGATAGTTGAAGTCATGAATATTAGGGATACTACTGGGGAAATTAGATTACTAGATAAAGACTGATTAGAACCAAAAGTATTATTATCATCTTTCTCATAGTCGGAATAAAAGATAGGGATATCAGTACTAGGTTTAGGGTTATTGTTAAAGTTTTGATTGTCAGAAGTCATTAAAGCAGGGGCGGTTATTCGAAGGGGTTTAATGTTAAGAATTTCAGGAGCTACTTTAAACTCAAAGATGGGGTATAATTTATTATATATAATAAGATCATGGTTCCTACTATAGTACTTATTAAAAAATCCACATTTACTTATGTTAGAAAAATTAAAAATCTTATTCTCAAGTTCCTCTTCCTTAAATTCTTCATTGAGTACGTCGTCCTCTGAATCCTCATCTGTATTCTTATCCAACTTCATAATTTTAGAGGGACGACTCTTTTCCAACGGCTTATGAGTCAATCGACGACACTTAACCGGAACTATGATTTCTTTACTTCCCAAAACACGGATATTTCTGAGGACTCCCAATTAATAATTGCATGGGTCTTGGCAAGCCAATCGTTACCAATGATTGCTTGATAAGAATTAGCATCAGTCACGACTATGTTGATAGGAATAGTTACTCTGGCAATCACAAATAGAAAACTCGAAATTTCTCTAACAGCCCTTTTACTCTTCTCATGAACGTTGACCATGTTAATTGTGGAGGGCCTTTTGACCTTTATACCTAGTTTATGAAGTAAATGTGATGACACAACACTACCGAAAGACCCACTGTCAACAATAAGGGAAATAACCATATCAAGGACTTGAGCATTACAATATAAAGCAGTCAACTTATTATCAGCTTGAAGATTAAGATTACTTTTAGGTTTCTTTCTTATACTTGACTTTTGTTTCTGTAGCCTCTTAGACAATTCAACTTGCATCGAAGGTACTGCACAAAGCAACTGGCCGAAAGTAATGTTAGCAGGCTTATCGCGAAGATCTGCGACTATCGAGTATGGGGTACAAGCAAAGATATTTGGGGTAAAACTTCTGACTCATTTTTCTTTCGAGGGGCGATATTTTTCTTAGTTGGTTTATTAGGAACTTTAGGCTTATCACTAGTCTTATCTTGCTCCAGTAGATTAGAAAACTCTCTAATACTCGGTTCATTTGTTTTGTCTTCAGACTCGACTCTAACACGCTTATGACTCCTGGTATCATGTTGCTTAGGAGTGACACTGTTGGCAAAGAAAGGAGTATCTTCTTCAGGAAGATGAATAAAAGTTTGATTATTATTATTAGTGGGATTAGTGATATTAAGGTTAGCCATTGAATTTAAGAGGGTTTGAATAGCTTCCTGTTGGGGTGGCTGATTGTTATTATTAGGTCTATTGTCATTATTAGGTGGGAGATTATTATTATTATTATTATAGTTATTGTTAAAGGGGTTCCTGTTATTATTACCATTGTTATTATTAAAATTATTTCTGTTGAGGCAAACAGGGGCAATGTGAACAGTTCTACCACAGTTAAAACAAATTATGTTATTTCGGGGAGGGTTTCTTGGAGGGGGCCTACTGTTTTCTTTAATCTGGGTTACTGTGTTGTTGAGAACCTCGATCAATTTTTCAATAGCCGAGTCTAACCCATTAGAGGTTGGATGGGAAATTACAAAGGGATTTAAGAAATGTCCAGTAGTTACGGAAGGTAGACTATAAGGGTTAATATAAGAGAAGTTTTGTTTATAAGTATTTTCAAAAGCTTTAGCTCTCTTATAAGCAGCTTGTAAAGTATTGGGTGTAAAGGGGGGCTACTGCTGTGAACAACTCGGGACAAAGTCCATTTATGAAAATTTGAGCTTTAGCGGTGTGGGGAAACCAGGCATTCCCTGCCTCTATGCGACGAAAAAGTTCAACAATAATTGAATGATAAGTATCCACATCTTCAAAAGGCTGCTGTTTTCTCTGCGTGAGCTCCGCAAACTATTTACTTTCTAATGACTGAGTGCAAAATTGAGCTGTAAACACATGATGAAAACTGTTATTAACGTTATGTCTATCATCCCAACGGTCAACCTGTGGGACTTGAACTCTTCTTGTCAACCACCAGCTCGCGGCAGGACCCTTCAGATAGGGTATAATTACGGATATTTTATGCGCATCGGTCACTTGATTAGCTTCAAAGGCCTTCTCTACATCTTCTAACCAAGTGATGGGGTCTTGTTCTCCTCCAGCAAAATCAGGATATGGAACATTATTGCTTTCCCTAACGGGAGGTGCAGCGATATTGACTGTTTGAGATAGGGTACAGTGGATTTGGTTAACCAGATAACCAATTTGGGTGGCTAGGTTATTAATAGTGTTAGCTTGATCACGATTCATTTCCTCTTCTGAATCCTCTGAATCTGATGCAGAATTATTATTTGGGGCTCCAGTTACAGTATCGTCCGAATCTTCACCCAATTCAATTAAATCTTCGCTGTCAGTTAGTTCCTGAATACGGTTACCTGCGTCTACTTGGGGACCGAGAGGATCTACACCAAACCGATTACTCTGATTGTAAACGTTACTAAAACTATTAAAGACGTTGCAATAATTGTTAGGGTTTACAAGGTAGCGAAAACTAAAAATAAGATTCTTTATAAATAACTCAGGGAGATTATTAACAGGATAGTTATGAAGGTGTTCAAAAATTTGAATAGTAGCTTGCGAATAACTGGTAATATGATAGTTTATGTTAAACCAGTTAGTATAAGTGAGGAATGAAACAGATGGTTGTTCTGCAATGGGGTAACTAGGGATGGGTTCGGTCGGTTATGGTCAGTTATCGGTCGGTCATTACCGGTTAACCGTTCATGACCGGTCGACCGCGATCGGTCATATGGTTAAATAACCGGTTATAGCCGATAAATTATTTAACCTATTATTCAATCAAATATCCAAATAAGTGACGATAGGACACTGCGCAGACTGCGAAAGAAAAACAAAACACAGTGATTTGCATCACATAATCGATAAAATCTTCGTTAATAATTCTGGTCAAACTTGCAGATCATTTGACCACATTTAAAGTTTTTTTGTTCTAGATCTGGCCAAGTGATCTGCAAATTTAACCAGCATTACCAACCAAAAAATTTTGCATGACCAAAATTTTAACTTCTAGTGAAGGTTTCTCAATAATTGCTTGGCCAAATTCAGTAAAAATTTTTTTATTTTAATCTTATACTTTTATAGAATTAAAATAAAAAAAAGCTTGTT